ACAAAAGTTTTTATTTTTTTAACTTGTATATATGGGTTTAGAAATGTAAAAAACAAAATTACTATCGCGGGCCACCAAGGGAAAACTTTTTACAGCCAAAAAAGTCAGATTTTTTCGATATTTTTTGGGTTTTTCACCTATAACTCCTAAACAATGCATCAAAACGAATAATGTACTCTTTAACAAATTATAGAACGTTAAATTTTGCGTCAAATGATTACATAAACATTAACATTTGGTTACGCCGTAATGTATAAAACCACGGTCAACCAAAGCTGAGTTTTACCAAATTTGTCAAAAACTGAGAAAAATTACTATAAATGGTGCTGTAACTTGAAAATGAGTTATTAAGTGGAAGAACCCATAGAATCAAAGTTGTAGAGCATCAAATTTTGCATCAACTGAGTACAAAATAATTTAATGTAGGTCACTGGATGCGAAAAAAATCGGTAATCTATCGATGGTTAGAAATTGGTAATGAAGGTAAACCTGATTTTCAATATTTCAACAGTATGGGTGTCTTTTCTAATGAGTTAGTTTTGTTTAAAGTCTGTTACATGCAGTATAAGCTTCTTTTCTACCTCTTAACAGCAAAAGATTTTGGTAAACGATGTGCCGAAAGATTCCGAATTTTATAAAGGACTAACGAATCCCGATTCAAGATATATAATTGGCCTAAAATAAAAATGTCAGTACTCAATGGACGCAAAATTTGATGTTCTACAACTTTGATTCTATGGGTTTTTCCTCTTAGGGAACTCATTTCCAAGTTACAGGGCCATTTATAGTAATTGTCTCAGTTTTTGATAAATTTGGTAAAGTTCAGCGTGGGTTGACCGTGGTTTTATGCCTTACGGCGTAACCAAATTATATAGTTTACGTACTCGTTTGACGCAGAATTTAACGTCCTTTAATTTATTAAAGAATACATTTTTCACTTTGATGCATTGTTTAGGAGTTACAGGTGAAAAATCTGACATTTTTGGCTGCAAAAAGTTTTCCCTTGGTGGCCCGCTGTAGCAATTTTGTTTTTTACATGTCTAAACCCATATATACAAGTTAAAAAGATAAAAACTTTTCTCACATTTTTCGCAATGGATTTCCCGTTTCGATCCTCAAGTTATTGGCCTAATATTCTTTAAATCAGCCGCCATTTTTGAAAGCAGTGGCTCTGGAACGGCAGACAAGGTTTTTTTTATTCAGAATAACATACACTTTCGTAATTTACAATCAAACCTTCGCCTGCGATCAGGTCGATTTTTGGGCCCTGGCTCCAGGGCTATCAAGACTATCTAGTTCACTGATGACTTTTATAAGTGTTATGAACCCACACTTGGCCTAGCGTCTTTTAGCTATTGGAATTATCAGGACCGGCAATGTCTTTGCATTCAAATCTGTACAATTATAAGTAATTATTATTTTATTATTATTATATAAGTAATTTAAAGGAAGGAGATGGTCCGGGGTGGCGATCATAAATAGGCTAAATAGTGGCAAAACTATTTTATTAAAAGCCAACGTTTCGACCCGACTTTGCATGTCTTCTTCAGGGAGGTGTGTTCAGCTAGGAGTATCACTTAGAACTCAAGGGCAATTCTAAGTGAAACATAAGTAATTTAACCATTTATTTTTGGATTTCATTAGAAAAAAAGTCAAATTTATTTTACTTAAGAATGTATTAGAGAATTGCTTATCATCACACAACACATGTTCGTGAATTTTAATGCCGCATATTCAGGAAACATTTTATGAAGCTTTGAAAAAAAACGACATATCCTTACGAACTTAAAACAGCTTTAGAAATCACAGGTTTAGAATATTAGATACATACCAGAAATAAATGAGTTCCTTCTAAATGAAGGTGTGTGATAGCTGCTTGCTATCTATTTAAATTAACTTCTATATTATTTAACCTATTCCAACAACTCATAGCCAATACATTAGTATAGGAACACTAAGTGCAAATAAATATCTACATTTTCATGGTAGATTGGACGGGCGAGCTTGTGTGCGCTGCTAGGTAGCGGTCAGGTGAACTATTTGTTCCTTGTAGCAAATGGCGGGAGCCACCACAGGATATATCTTAAGGATGAAATGCTTTAGGAGGAAGATTCATTTGGAGTGGAGTATTCAGTTTTGCATCAATACATTCAAGGTGATTTGGGTTAAGGATATCAGGATATGGATTAAAGGTTTGGAAGAGGTGGTAACGAAATATTTGAGATTTTTCTTCATCAGTTTTGGACCAGCTTTGAATTTAGGCAAGGAGAGGATGTTTAGAATCTTTAAATTTCAGGAGCTTTTTAGTGGTCGGTGTAAGTTTTTCAGTAAAATTTAGTAATACTTGAATTTTGTATTTTCTAATTTCTGTTTTAGTTTGTTAGTCAGTTGGGTGTAATGAGTTTTATCTATTGGGTACGAGTATCTAGCTCTGTGCCACATCTTGCTCTGCGTTTTTCCTTTAATAAGATTCGAATATGCTGTAGCAAGTTAGCCTGTTTATTAGCTATAATACCTATAATTTATTATTAATTTAGGCATTTTTTTCTATGGCACCGTCAATAATTTGTTTTGTCTTCAGCAGAATTTCCAGGTCTATTTTATTTTTCAAATCATCGCGAAATCTGTCGCAATTTACTCGTCCTGTAATCAATGTAGGAGGTGAGAGCTTAAGAGCAAAGTTTGAATGCAGTACAAGCAGAACTTGACTATGATCTGAAGAAAAGTCATTCAGGAATTTGATTATGGCTTGGAAGTAGGAAATCTGAGAGGTGATAAATATATCCAGGATATCGGGACGTTTTTTGAGGGATGTTGGCCAATAAGTAAGATTCATGAGCGAAAGGATAGAATAGCTATTGGAAGATGAAACTCGTAAAAGAATGTTACCACGGGAGTTCGATGTTTGACAACCACATCGTTGGTGTTTAGCATAGTAGTCTCCTCCAGCAATAAAGCGCGATCCGAAGGATTGGAACAAGTAATCAAGAAGAAGACTATAAGAGAGAGAATTACCGAGCCGACAGTATACAGCTGAGAAGGTTAGATGGAAACATCAAGTTGAAAAAATTACGGAAGTTGATCTGCATTAGTTATAAGGGAATGGGGTGAAAGTTCATGTATAAGGATGCAGGAACCGGGGTGGGAAGTGTTGTCAGGGTGGTCAAATCTATAAGTGGAGTAGTCACTTATGTAGAAATGTGTCCATTGAGTGAAATGAGTTTCCGTCAGAAAGACAATATCTGTTCCGGAATTTGTTATCCGTGAATGCCTATACGGTTTCTTTGAATCCTTTTATAGTCCACATCAGTTAGAGAAAATTGGAATATTACCTACTGGTTATGTTTTGATAATTTATTTATAATTATTTCAAGCAATGTTTGTTGAGTAGTTATGAACTCCTCAAGGTGGGAGGATGTTCCGGAATTTGTTAACCGTGAATGTTTGATTTTTTTACATTTAAATACAATGTGAAATGTATTATTTTAATTCCAGGCAAAACAGCTGTTCTACAAGATATTTAAAAACAGATGTTACTTAATTACTATTGTTAGTTAGAAAGAATTGTGTTCTTAAAAGACTCTGCTTTGTAAAATTTGAAAAATATAAGTTTGTGTTTGTTTTTGTTTGAGAGTGCACTCAATCACTACTTTATTTACAAGTTCCCATTGTTGTTCATTTTTTGTATTACGAAAAATACCAATGTGATTGTCATAGAGACATATGTCTAGTTCGTGGTTAAGTAGTCCATTAGGGTTCCATAAAACCAAAGTTAGGGGCTTTGTGTTCATCGAGAGAAGTTGAACGGGATTTCATAAAGGAGTCTAGTGAGGAGGGTAATGAGCGGTTTGAGACAGTCTCTTGAAGATCTATCAGGTTTTCTAAATATAGCATGAATATTAACCAATTTAAATTCTCTATATGGAATTAGCTTCTCAAAAAGCATATTGTGGTGCAGTTTATATGAATAAAACAACGGGGTTATTTTTTTTATAACTTGCGTATTTATATTTGTTCTTCTGTTGTAGGTAGAAGGCAAATTATTGAATGATATTTTTTTACTGACGAATTGCTCATTTCTCTTCGTTCTTAAGCTTGCCAATATCATGTCTTCTTGGTGTTTATTGGCATAGTACTGACCTTCTGAAGGTTGACCTACCTCTGATTTTAACTATGCCCATATAGTGTTTGCAGAAGGGCAGATGGAGACCCGAATATTGCAGAAAGATTGAATAATATCAAGGACTCGATACGGTAGTATATTTATATACATAATTTAGAGTATATGTCCAGGCTGTGAAACATATAGGACGTTCCTTAATTCATCGATTGAATCACTGATGATTCAGCGGTTCCAGCTGAGATCGATGGACCCGCTGAATACAACCTCATTATAACCTTAGTGTTGTTGTTTCTCAATTACTTCAAATAGTGTGTTCAGTTTACTTTTTGTCCTTATTTATTTCTGTTTTGAAATTGAACGGGATAATTCAGTAGGTAAGTATTTCCTTATTTCATTTTTTTTTTCAAGTGTTCTATAACCTTCCAGGGATGTTCGCCTTCTGAAAACGAACCTCAAGAATTCAGCAGGTTATTCCTGAACTCAGAGTTAATCTTAATCGCTGTCCTTCGATGCTGGATTCAATTGATTGACTGATTCCATTAATGGAATTAGCGCTGAGTTTAGGAATTTGTCCATTTTGTACGAAATTTTAGTGTATAATTTTTGATGTTATTTTTCAAAAACTCAATAAAAAAGCAAAATAAACACTACTATTTTTATCACTGTAATCATGACTAATACCTACCTCACCACAAGGTTTTGATGCTTTGATTTGTAACTCTCCTACCTCGTTGGGTATAACCAAAACATCCCTTAACCTTTTTAAAATTGAATTTTATTTGACTTGAGACATTCTTCGGTTTTTATTTTAGAAAAATCATTTTCAGATGACAATTAATTCATTCATTAGTAATTTGTCAACTAAATTATTGTCAAGATGGATAAATCTGGTTTACCGGCACAGTTGGATCGTTGTGTTCAGTACAAATGGGTTTTCACCAAATTAAAAAATCCACCTTGTGGAATTTATATATGGAAAATAGCTAGCAATATTACTATTGCTTGCGTTGGATTATTCAGCAGGTTTCTCCTTAGTTAGTATTTTGTTTGTTTCTCAATTCACTGTAATAGGTATTTTATCCAGTTAGTAGAGCAGGTATATTTTAAATCTAATACAAATAAATCAGATTCCTTTCACAAATTGTACCATTATTTAAATTCCTTTTTGAAAAATAAATTTTGGAAACTTTTTAAAGCAAATATCATTTTATATAGACTGGATTTTTATGATTTACTTTCAAAAATTAAATTAGGTTATTTTTAATTTAAATTTTGACGTTTTTCTTCAAAGTTGGCTAGTCATTTCATTAAATTTCCATGTGAAATAGAGTGATATTTTAACATTAAATGTCGAGTCAATGATGTTGATTAGTCTCTTAGGTACTATCAAAGTGTCATTCGAACATTGCAAGTGGTTATGAACCTGCTTGTAATGTAATGTTCAGGTTATATTATGCATTTTTTAAGAAAGGAGAATGTCCGTCAGCTTTAGTTTTCATGATTTTTGCTTAATTTTTTTAATAAATTGAGGAGACTTCACTCATTAATATGACAAAAAATGTACACCCTTCAATCTATGAAATGATTTGCATCCATATCCGTTTGGTGGTTGCATGAATGCTTGCAGATTTATTTTTTAAATCAATTTTTAATTATCTTTTTACTGTTTTAATATGTCACACCATCTCATGATTAAATTATTCCTTACATTACAAAGTTATTTCTGTGTACAGTCTTTGATTTATTGGAAACTGTTAGACTGTACTATACCATAACTTTAATGAAATTATTCCATTGATTTACACAGAGACCACAGCTGATGAACAGTAAACTACTTCAAAAGATGGGTAATAAGTCCTAAATGTTATGTTTAATTCATTTCATGCCCTCCCATTTGCCTGAGTGACATAGTAGTACCATATCTTCTCATTTGATGTGGCAAAATTAACTTCATTATTATTAAACTGATCTTATTAAAGTAAATTTATCTTAATCATATGTTTGTAGTTCTATACATCATTATTAATTGGTTTATCAGTATAACATTTCGGTGGATTACAAATATTTTCACTTCCCTTAATAATATTCCTCATGCCATGATAAAACATTTTGAATTTTTTTTCTCATTGGAGTAATTCTTTATTAAGTAAATATATTTCTGTATATTCCATCCTACGACTTAATATATATTTAAATAATACATTATCATATAAAAGATTCATGAAAAGTTCATTCACTTTGTGCAAGGAAATAGAAAATATTTGTAATAATGTAGAGATGGTTGACCGTGATAAAATATGAGAAGGAGTTCGTCGGGGAGTGCGGTCAAATAAATGCTAAATTAAAAAAAAAATAGAATATAAATTTTAAAAAATATAAATAAAAAATAATTAAGAATACTATTTTTTTTAAATTTAGTATTTATTTGACCACATCCCCCGACCAACTCCTTCTCAGAAAATATTTGTATTTAAATAAAATATTTAAAAAAAAAAAATATATATATATATAGTATCCCATAAGTAGAGGGAAATATGGTGGTAACTAAAAAGATATTTAATTTAAGTAACTAGCAATCGCTTCACAGTAAACTAGACAAAATTCACTTCAAATGAAAGTAGAGTTTGTTATTTTTAAAACCATTTAAATAGCTCTTTTGAGTGGATAAACTAAGTTGAATTCTGTTTTAAAAAGAAATCATAAATTATAGGCGGTTCTTTTTTTAGAAAAACTTCTTCCTTTAATAAGATTTAAGTCCATATTAATTAAGTTGAGATTTTTTTTGTTCTGGCCTTTAGTACACATTCAAGGCTCTGTAACATTAAATTAACCAATTTTTGCACGAATGATGTAAGGATTTGGTTTGACTATTCAGGAATCACTCACACTCTTTAAATTATGGAAATAAGAAAAATTGCATTATCAGAATGGATCTTTCAGACGATGACTGAGATGAGATTACTATCCAATTACATACATTGTAGAGGATCCTCATCTTAGTTTTCCATTGGTCATTATCTTTCTTAAAATGTCAACATATTTTATCTGATCTATTGTATGATTTATAAATTCAAGTGATCCCACTCCACTAACGTTCAAACCATCCCAGCCATGGTTGACTTACCTTCTTGTTTAACAGCTTGTGTATTCCTGTTTTCCATTAGTAATATATTTCATAGTACTATATTCCTAGTTTTCATTGCAGCATTTCTATTCCACCACACTTTTTGACTTACAGTTAACACACATTTCAATTTTACATCCATCAGAAAATGTTACATGTTTTAGAAATTTGATATCAGCAGCTATTTTTTATATATCTTTTGGACCACATATAGATTTTTTTACAAACACATTTAAGAGTGATTTGTTCAAGCTCTCTGTTTTTAAGGTAATCAATTATTCTTATATTATTTAATGTTTATATTTTTCTTAAGGAAGAGTTTTATCTTATTTTAGGTAAAGGTATGGAAACTTTTCTCTTCCTTGTATTCCATTTATTCTAAATAATTCTTATTTATCTAGATACATCTGTCTAATGTTTCGAACTCTTTGTCCATCATCAGAGATTCTTCTTTATTACTGTTAGAACATCCTTCTACATGTTATTAACATTTGTATTTTTTTTTCCTTATTCCATTTGACAATTATATACCACCTTATTCAATTTTCATTATCACACTCAACTTTGATAATGAAAATTAAAAGTAGTTTTTCTAGAGTATTCACATTCCGTATCAGTCAGTAATGTTTTTTAAAATTAAAATGTGGGTTTACTTTCAACTTTTCTGATTTATTGGAATGATTAGCACTTATTGTTATGTGCTTACCATAAAGTTCCTTTTTATCTCATTGATATAACTTGATTTATGCCCCATTTCAGCTATATACACCACGATAAGAATAATATTTAATCCTACACAGGCTTAGGTTGTCCCACTAAATATTAATAAAAGTTATAAAATATATTTAATATAGTATTAGAGTTGGTGTCAATTTTGCTCTAACATGGATTTCTTTGTTGAAAACTTACGATCAAAAATTATTGAGGAACCGATGAGGACCATTCTACTTTGCTTCCTGCATGGTAAAATTTATATGGAGCAGTCTGAAAATTAGGAGAGGAACATATTTAGGATTTGCAGTTTTAAAAAACAGATAAAACTTATAATAATTCAGTTATGTCGTTTTATGTTTTGTCCTTAATTTGAGTGCCTTCATGAGATTGTTCTGCGCAATGGGGTGGCCTTTTTCTCTCTATTAAAGAAACCAAATTAAATCAACTTCTTCTGATTGATTATGAACTTTTTTTGATTTATATTGACCATTTTTAATATTGTTCAGACTTCTTGATTTGGTCCATAATGTAATTTTTTTTTTTTTATCTATAAATCATTTTAAAACATTCTCTTATGGAAAAAATTGTTCCTTTACCCGAAAAGGTGAAAATCTGTTGGAGATATGTCTGAGAATTAGGTGGGTAAGAAAGAACTTAAAAGCAATTTTTTTATTTTTAATTTGTTAACAGTTTGTTTCAAAACACATGGAGTATAAGGACCTTACAATATATCATTCTGTATTATTTTTGGCTGATATGCCAGCTCTGAAAAAGAGAAACAAGATTTCGTTGATGACTCTGAGCTCCTCAACAAGGATGAGATTAAGGACGCCATCAGGAAGCTAAGGAATAACAAAGCACATGGGATTGATGGGATCCACCCCGAATTCTTGAAATACAGCAGGGATGAGCTAAGGAGGGAACTCGAAAATATGTTAGTAACGATCTGGGAGCAAGAACGGATGCCGAAGGACTTGTAATGTGTGATATTTACTCCTGAAATGAAAAAATAAATTAATACTCCATGAATTTTTAACAACATAGAAACCTAAAATTCTTGTGAAATAGCCTGATATTTTCATAAATTCACTTTTTTTTATAAAGTTACTTTTATTTTATTTTTCATATATGTATATGTATATACATGTGTATGCCATGATTCTTATATAATGATATATCATAATAGTTAGTGTAATTTAAACTTATAATATTCTCAATTTTAGATTATATGAATAAAAATGTTTGTTATAACCAAGATAATTTATTAAAAGTACTTAAGAAAAGAGAAAAGGGTGTGCCTTTAATTACTGTGTCAAATCATCTCTCTTGTTTTGACGATCCTGGGATTTGGGGTAAGTAAACATTTACATGTCACTTCATTATAAATTTTAAAAACTTCTAATTGACTGGTTTTTTTTTTTAACAAGATGAATAAACACACATCGATACTTCAATGGATCTAAAACCCACTTTGTTTGTTCAGGGCTCCTCCTCACCCAGACTGCTGTCCGATCTCTGGTATTTAATAGAATCCTTGTATCAGCTAACTTACTTCTGGTCTTCCAACTTGCCTCGTTCAATGGGGTTGTTCACTCCCATGAGCCACATGTCTGTTCTAGTGCTGGTGTCATATTTTAATGCCGATCTAAAGTTAGATCATAGATTTATCGGTTTCTCCAAATGCCTGCTTCCATCAGTGGTCCGAATATGCTTCTTAATAACATTTTCTCAAACAGGAGGACTTTCATTCCACACCTTGGATCCATAAGTGAGAATGGGTCACGCTCATGTTTTATAAAGGTGTATTTTGGTTTGGTTGGACAGGAACTTGCTTTTAAACCAGTTTTCCATTCCACACACCTGTTGACTGCTGTGATTCTTATGGTAATCTCCTGTGAAACTTATTTTTTCCCACCTTATCAGCTATGAAGAGTTTTTCCATGTTAAGAAACAAGGCTAGGGATTAATGCCAGAGCTAAAAGGCCCCAGCACTGGGCCTCAAACTCTTAATCTTTAGTTTATCAGTTTGCTAGGCAACGTGTGTGCAAAACATTCTCTCTCAAGTTCTGTTCCCAAATACATGAAGGAATACGCTCAAATTTGTATTGTTCAATTTCTATATGCCTCCTGAACCACCATTTAAAAGAAGTTAAATTTTAAAAAAGACATCCTCTCGTCTCTAATCTTGCTTCCTCTTCTATTCCTGATAACCCTCCGAGGCTTCTGAAAAGAAGATGGCCTCGAAATCTCTTATTGTAAATACATTTTGTTTTTAGAGTGCTACCAGTGGGTAGTTTCTCAACAAGTCATTTCATGTTATTATTTTCTGTTACCAAATTTACTTAATGTATTTAATTTTTTTAATACAGTTGTAAATATCATGAATAAATAAAAAAAAAAAAAAGACATGAAAATGCATCTCTTTGTCTTACTTTACTGTCAGGACTGAATGAACTAGATAGGTCTGATCCCACATCAACAACATACTTTCTCATTTTCACTACTCTAATAAACTTTTGTGGGATTTCAAAATCCCTTATTATATGATATAGTTTCACTCTATAAACACTATCATAGGCTGGTCTGAAGTCTATAAATGAGATTAATAAACAGGTAACAATATTATGTGAACCTCAAGCTTAATTATTTCAATAAAAAATAATTTTTTGTTTTATTTCATGTGTTGATTAAAAGTGTGACTGTTAAACAGCAGAGATGGGTAAAAATGAATTGTAACTATTAATTTAAAAATACAACTAACCTTGTTGAAGTTGTGTTTAAACACATAATTAAACCATTAGTTGTTATTCGTTGACTGACAGCTAATTTTTTGTTGTTGAAATGGATAGCTAATTTATTTTATGTCATTAAAAGGTTAGTTTTAGTGGCAACCACGACTAATTGGTTTTATTCTTAGTTGCTGAATAAAAACTAACAACTATTTTTCTTTTCAAATCCTGTAAGAGTTCGCTCTCCTTCCCCTTTTCCCTCCTCCACAAATGGTATAATTAGTGAATAATATTACCTGTTGAATTTTTTTTTAACTAACCAATTTTAGTGTTGCAAATAGATTTATATAAGCTTTTCAGATTTCTTTGACATATAGGCCCATTAATGTGATATTGGAAGTGTAGCTTTTGAAAACAGTGTCAATTGGGTAGGGATAGGGGTTGCAGTCAGAGAGAACACACAAATAAAAATAAAAGATTTTTATTTTATTTTGTGCTGATGTTTCAGCCTAAGTTGTAGGTCTTCATCAAAGCCGAAGAAAAGCAAGATAACAACCAAAAATTATTTTTAAAATATTTTAAAGAATACTGGAACAAAAAGTATGTTATTTGCTGATAAATAAATTATAAGAAGTGAATAAAAATTAAAATATTTGAGTATTATATGTAATAGCAAGGCATGAAAATATAAGGGAGATATAATGAAAAACAATAAAGTGAAAGGTAACAAAGTAACAGTAATAGGGTAATGAAATGACCAGAGTAATAAACAATTAAATGATGAACAAATGAAATCTAATATTAAGCAATATAGAAACATCAAAAACATAATTAGTACATAAAATAAATAAGGTAATTATTGTAAGATGATAACATCATAAGTTCAGTAAGAATAAAATAAACATAGAATGATAATTAGTATAGAATAATAATGATGAAAATTGAAAATGAAATACCAAATATTTGAATTTTATAAAGGAGTAAGTAGAAAATAATGAGATAGAATGATATCAATAGACATCATATGTCGCATCATTGACCAACTTCCACTCCTCCTTGAACCATCTACCTCGACCCTCAAGAACCTCCTTCCCAAGGATTTGTTCTGCTGCGCCGTCCAAGGCCTTTTCTAGTTGATCTCAGACATCCTGTACACTTTCGACGTCAGCTACTCTGAGCTCATCTCTTGCCAATTCTTCCATTTTATGGTGAAATGATTTGACAAAAAAAAAGAATAAATAAAAAGAGAGAATCACTTTATTATCATAAAAGGGTGCTGCCCAATTACATTGGGCTGCTAAAAACACAGTATACTTATTAATCACTACAGACAATTTTTTAAAACTAATATACAATTATATAGGATTAACAATATGTATGAACATAGTATACAATATTTTTTTTATATATGCATATATATCTTTACAACTTTTCTTTAATCGACCTTTGAGTATTAAATTTAAACATAACTATTTAATTGGGAATAAGGTCACTTATTAATTATTTAATAAACTACTAAATGTTCATTTCCTCTATGTTTATTGACGTTTTGATCCCGGTATTTTTCTTTTTATAAGTTAACGATGGGATCCTCTTCAAAGTTTTAAAATTAGAGCTTCGATCAGGCCAGGGACACACTGACAGTCTCAGCACCGTCCACTAGCACATATATTAAGCTATATATATATGTATTATTACTTTTTTTTCATATATATTTGTTTCCATTTTTTTATTTTTTAATGATTATATTTATTTATTTATTTTTTTAATAAATATAATTTTCTATCAGAACCATTACTTGTTAGGCTCCTGGCTTTACTAGCCTTTCATCTCTAAAGAGATAATTATAGAGAATATAAGTTACTTACCCATTATTTGGCCATGATTAATCATTTATCCTACCATGCTAGCTCAGGTGAGAAGGGGTTAGGTTGGATATTTTTATAAAGTAGCAAAAAAGGTTAAGAGATCTATTTACAGAAAGAAATATTTACAAAGTTAATACTATGTACAAGCAAAAGAAATAAAATAAAAGGAAAAAGAGAGAATTCATACATAATTACTGTATACAATTAAAGATAAACGGGAAGATATTTTTTTAATACCCTACAATGAAATATAAATAAATATACTAGCCTTCTTTAACAGTGGCACTCTTGTCACACTAACAATATTAAATGACACTTAATTATTTATTATAATCAAATAAATAATTAAAATGTACAGTTTTAAAAGGAAATTATTACAAAAAAAAAAGTATAAATATATTACATTAGACAGCTGTGAGAAACATATGGAAATTGATTGTTTTAAATAATATTTTGTAATGTCTGTAATTTTTACTTTTAATTCCCTTTGCCGCCTGGATATATCTATTTCTACTTTTTAAAAAAATGGTTAGTGAAAAAGTGTGTATTGTGCGCCCCGATTTTTTTTTTTTTTTTAACTGGTTTATATTTGATTATGTTTTGATTATATTTATTTATTTTTTGTATACTACTAGACTCTGATGTATCCATATTTCTTATTATTACTCTGTTTATTTCATTACCTTATACAATATTTTTTTAATAATTTTGGTTCTTATCTTGTTTTTTCTTAGCCCTGACAAAGGCCAGCAACTTAATCCAAAATGTCAGTACTAAATTAAATAAAAATATTTTATTTTTATTTGTGTATTCTCTCTGATTGTAGCCACCAACCAACTCATTTCAACTTTTCGCATCCCATTAACACTTTCAAATTTATTACATATGTACTATGAAAGTGGAAAAAAAAATTGTAAAAACAAAAATTATGAAGTGATAACAACATCCCTCCAGCTCATGAATTATTAATCTACTAATAATAGCATTATTTGTTTATAATTATATTTTTTGCTTCTTTTTCACATTTTTCTCTCATTATTTTTAAATGTTAATTAAAGATGTTAAAGAGTCAAGTTTTAATTATTTAAATTTTTAATAATGGTTTATAACGCTGCAAATTATTTGTTTTACTTTTTTTATTTTGTTTTTTGTTTATTTATTTTTTTAGGATGTCTTAATTTAAGTCATTTTACCAATAAAAATATGAGATGGTCGCTCGCTGCTGATAATATATGTTTTACAAATAAGTTCTATTCTTATTTTTTTATGCTCGGGAAATGTGTACCAGTTGTTAGAGGAGCAGGAGTTTATCAGGTAATTTTCTATGTTAAAAATTGAATTTTCTGTATATAAAACTTCACAGTATTTTTGATAATGTGAATAGCTATTTTTACCTCTATGTGGTGTGTGTATATATATATATATGTGTGTGTGTGTGTGTCATATATTTATAAACAATTATCTCTAGAAATATTTATATATTCAGGATAAAACTGTTTTTAAAATGACTTAAGTTAAATTTATCTACTTCACTGGTGGTACTGCAAAAGTTTCTGTAGTTGAAATGACTATCAGAAAAAATAAGGGGAAAAATTGCATAGATTCAGGACCTCCTTGTTGACTTTTAAGTATTGTCATCTATTACGATTTACGCTTACAGCCTTCTAGTTCCCTAGGATATAATATCCACCAGCCTATTCTTATTCTCTCCTGAACAAGAGGAGATATATATGTGTATATTTTCAATTATTTATGGAGAAAGTTGAAGTGAAGCTGTATGGTTTATCGTAGAAAAAAAAAAACTTCAGTTACACCCTATTAATGATAATCACATGCTTGAAGGGTCATTCAGCATCAAAAACTGAATGTTGGTGGTCAAAATATTTTTTAGTTTCTACTGTATGCCAGTGTCTTCTTTGTACTCAAGGCAATAGGAATGAAAACATAAGTATGTGAAGCAAAATATCACTTTAATGATTGATGTTTATCATTAAAACTGAGATAAATGTCAGATAACTTATGAATGGCTGCTATGTATACTTGCATATTATAAGTTATACAATGTTATAATATATATAATACATAAACTAGTTTTTTTTATTTATTTATATATTTATGATATGCATATGGTTGCCTCAAAACCTTATTTCCAGAAATGAATGTTCCAGATCTAATGATAGTCATTTTCAAAAGAAATAATGCCTATTAAAGTATTATTATTATTTGAGAAATAGTTGGTCGGGGGGGGGGGGGGGGAGGTGCGGTCAAATAAATACTAAATTTTTAAAAAATAGTATTTTTAATTTATATACTATTTTTTTTTTAAATTAGTATTTATTTGACCAAACCCCTCGACCTACTCCTCATATTATATCACGGTCAACCATGTCTGCGTCATTATGAATTCATTACCACGGGGTCAACAACAAGATACGAGCCCACTATCCAGGCGTAATAATTAAAAATATTATTTTTTAAAAAATTAGTATTTATTTGACCAACACAGCACATTTTTATATATTTTTTTATTTCGTGTGCATGTATACAGTGTTTAACTTATAAGCAATTATATTTGTAATGTTTAATGACATTTGTTTTTCTTTAATCCTATAATAGTATACATAAGCCATGTCCCTCTTTGCCTGAATATAGGTCAAGGCTTTTTATCTGAAATTTCCTCCTGTAACATAAATGTTTAAACTATATTTAAGGTTGATTTGTGTTTGGATTTGATCTAGGGAAATTTGAGTTTGATCAAACTTTGGGCTATTAAGTCATTTTATTTTGAAATTTAACTTTTTTTTATTTTCTGAATAATGTTGTATTCAGAAAATAAGATTTTCATTATATTGACATTTCGGAGAATGCTTTTTCCATCATCAGAACATTTATTTCATGAATTTGTTATCTTGATCTTATCAACATTTATTGATCTTTATTCTTATTTCCTCCTGTTGGCATATTACTTAAAATATTAGTTGTTACATTGTCTTTAATCAACAGTCAGGAGCTGTTCTTAATAGAATGTTGATGCTTCGGGTTCATAGTCAATCTATAAGCCCAAAATATCAACATGATTTTTTTTATTGCAAAAATAAAAAAATAAAGTAAGTTAAATTGTCAAATCAACCCATTGAAAATTGGAACTTCCTAATTAAATCTAACAAATAATTTTATTTTTGTTTCTACTTTCGGTGATGAGGGAATTAATAATTTCCTTATTAGTAATAAAGATAACTCACTCATTTATTACACATTTTGGAGAAATAAAATACAATTAAAAATAATTTGTTCAAAAAAGTATCAGCGATGGTACATACTTTCAAGGCAAATGGTAAGTTTATAGTGAGTGTTGAGAACAAAAATAAAGATTACGCAATTCTAAAACAGAAGAGTAGCTGAAATAAAGGTAATTAGGAAGACCCAAAATAAGAAATGTTAGTGTTAACTTCTAGTCCAGTCAATGAATGCTCGAAAAGGGAGTGTAGAAGGAAATGGCGGGGACACAATTTTCAACTTTTGAGTATTGTTTGGACTAGTAAGGAGTCAAACATACTAAAAGTCCCCACTCCTAGGTAGTGAGCCAGATGTAGGGGGAGGGAGCGCCTAGAAGGTCAATTTTTCGGGTTTTCGCTTATATCAGGAATACTATCCATTTCATCGACGAAAACGTTCAATACAAAATTAAAGCTGATAAAATTTACAATATGATCGATTATATAACTTTTTTTGGTAACTTGCCTAGTTTCTGAGATATCCGTCCTCAACTATTGCAAATTTGGAAAAACAAATTTTTTACTTCATATTTTTTACTGTATTTGACTAGTATGAGTTTATCTTCAACGGTTCAAAACTTAGATTGATAAACTAGTAAAATAATATATATTATTGAAGAAAATTTAATTATTAATAACTTTCTTCACCATTACTTAATCGTAGAATGAAGCAATCAAGAGTTAGTTAATACACTAAAGTTAGTCAAATACACTAAAAACACAAGGTAAAAATTTTTTTTTTCCACATTAGCAATAGTTGAGGAAGGATATCTTGGAAACTAAGCGAGATAGGGAAAAAAGTACCATATTGCAAAGTTTATCAGTTTTAATTTTGTATAGAACGTTTTTGTCAATGTGATGTATAGTTTTCCAGATATAAGCGAAATCCAAAAAAAGTGATCTAGGCACCCTCCCCCTACGAGTGGGGACTTTTGGTATGTTAACCTCCTTACTAGTCTAGAAAATATCCCAAAGTCAAAAATTGTGTCTCTGCCATTTCCTGCTATAATCATTCATTGACTGGACTATTCTATTTTTTTCAATTCAACAAATCATATCTGTATATTCTTCAGTTTTTTTTTTTTTACTTTATATTTAAATCTGTCTAGTGTATCTTCATTACCTGCAGTAAGTTTTTATTGTGTTAAGTGTGGATTATTTTTGTGCAGTTAACATTTTTTTAATTCAAGTACTTGAAGATATGGAACAATATATATTAATTATTTAATTTAATGGATGGTTCTTAGTCAATATTCCGTCCCTCATGAAGTGGTACAAGTTTTGGTAAGTTTATTGTTACCATTATCACTAACTCTTTTCAATATAAATTAAACAAGATTGACAGGGTTTTAAATATCTACCATTTTTCTTTATTCATAACACACTTCAAACTAATATTTTCTTTAATTATATTCTTAATTGCTTCATATTCTGGTGAAATTAATCATTAATTATAAAACGCTTCAACCTCAAATCTTGTAGTCGAAATTTGGCCATGACCGCAAATTCACTTGTATGACATTAGTCTCCTTCTTATCACTAGGTTCTTAGAAAAAAATTGATTCAGATTTTAAATAATGTACACTAAAGTCTATAAATAGAATATTTTGTCCTTTGATTAATACTATTTTCGTTAATAGAAGTCCTAAAAAATTTGGGTATACATTCATTCTTAAAATATATTTATATACATATAGATTTAAATGAAATGTCAGAAGTTGAATACTACTTATTTCAATCAATCTAACAAATATTTCGGTAGTAATTTTAATGCAAATATATACAAAAATTACTAGGTTTTGAGCAAGTAACAAAATTATTAACATTTCACTCCTTCAAAGCTCCGCCCATATTATATACACTACTATTTCCATACCATTTATCTTATAATTCATAGAATATTTCTTTTTCGTGAAATATAGATATCACTCTAATAGCACTAGTATTAAAGGCACCATAATTTTGGGATCTTCTTTTTAGATAAAGTAGAAGCGTGTTTTGGGCAAATTAGTTTTAAATCACTTTCTATTATTGGTACATTGCCCCTTACTGTAAATTCCATTCTTAAAGAATAGAGGCTATAAGAAATCATGTGTTACTATTGTTCTAATTGTCCATGACCTATCTATCTCAAAAAAGCAAATAATTATGATCTGCAAGACGACAGATTGTTTAGAAGCTCTGTGAATGAACCCAGTCGATATATCTAAACAAATTTTAGTGTTCAGTATATTTTAGATTTGAATATAACAAAATTGTGATGGAGAAGGATGATCACCCCTCATCATCTGAGTTAGATAACACTAATATTTTTTTATTTCTGAGAATCCTCACCTACTCCCCTTCCAGGTCAGCCACTTGATGGTGGCTCTGGGGTGCCTACTGTAAATTATAGTAAATATCCTCAGTATGTACATCCGTGCCATATCTGCTTGTGTTTTGATGACCAGGTAAAAGGACACCAGATTTTCCTCATGTGAAGCATAACAATGTTATCAGTTACATAAATAAAAGTGATCTTTTATTGAAGTGAGTAACTTAAAGTAGTTACTGATTACACTTATACGTAAGTAATTATATTCATGTTTTACAATTAACTTAATAATTACTGGTGAAACAGGAATTATATATAGTACATTTAATATATTTTTCTTTTAATAATCATATTTTTTAGGATATTAAAAACAATAGATGATCTGTTACAGAAAGCCTTTTATAGTTTTACAGTGGAGAGAGAGTAAAGAGGTGTTAGCATTCAATTAAGGGGTCTCTTCTATTTAAATATGGTGGGTTGTTTACTTGGTTATATATTTTATCCATTATGCCTTTGAAGACTCAACAGTATTTTGATATTTTTTTTTATTAATTTATGAATATTGATGTTTTTATAAAGCATGGATGCAAGTTTGTTTTTTTAACAATCTTTATTATAAAATTAATTTTTTATATTTTACGTGTCTTTATGTATGTTTTCAAACTATTTGTTTTGTTTTTTATTTACATCATTATGGATGTTTGCTCACAGTTTTTAGTTGTGAT